GCTCGCTGGGTTCCAAAGTTGCTGAATAATGATCAAAAAGCTGCACGCGTTCGCATTTCTCAATTCTTTCAAACTCATTTTGAAGAAGAAGGGAAAGCTTTTTTGCCTAAAACTGTCAGACATGGTGCATAATTACACCGTCCATCAAAGTGTGCAAGCATGGAGTGGAAAAGAAAAGATGAAGGAAACTCCGTGAAAGCCAAAACTCGATTGTCTGCCAGGAAACGGTTTTTTGAGACTGGAGAGAGGTTTTACGGGTGGATTCCTTTGCATGTACGTTAGACCATCTACGCAACTTACTTGTGCAGTCTGTTCGGTCAAGTTAGGCTTCAGTATTGACCCAAAACACGTGATTGTTCCATCTACAAAGTGATTCTCCACGACAAGGCCAGACCCCACACAGCAGGTGTAACGCAGCATAAAATGCATTGGAAAATGCTTGATCATCCATCTTACAGCTCAAATCTATCGCTATACGTTTTTCACATGTTTGGACCCTTCTAATATTTCGACCCTTTCAAATGTTTGGACCCTTTTCACTTGGAGGCAAGCGATTTGAGACCAGCGATGAAGTGAGAACATTTCGTGCGCACTTGGTTAAATACCCGTCCATCGTTTCTAAGAGAACGGAATGAAAAAGTGACCAAAACGTTGGGGAAAATGCATCATAAAAGAAGAAGATTATTTAGAAAAACAATTTGTAGAAATGTGGATGCTTTCTATAAAATAAATTGTGTTTAAACAAAAGGCTCGCTTATATTTGATTCACCCTCGTATATGTACCACCAAGACATGTAAAAGGTAATATTTCATTGGTTTCGTTAGCCTTTAGTAAAATTTGTTTATCGAATTTCAAATGCAATATTTTTATCAACAACTTACAGTAAACAATACACAGCAGCAGAACTTACGTACGAATCGAGTAAAAGCCTAACAAAGTATTTTATGTACTTGGTACATGAACATTCACGAAAATGTAAGAGTATGGATATGCTACTAAAATATGTTTGCAGCGCATTTAAGAAGAGCTTTTTGATTGTTATGACTATTATTATAAATCACATATTTACTATAATATCATATTTTTGTAGTGTACATATTTACTATAATATCATATCTTTGTAATGGTTTACAGGACAAAGTAAATAAATAAATAAATAAATAGAAAGAAAAAATTCGTTTCAATGAAATCTGTGATGAAAATTGTCATACAGTTCAGAGTATTTTAAAATTCGTATGAGTTCAGCTTCTATCTGAATGCTCTTCCCATCAATATCCCCTTAAAAGGTAAGGTAAATAATAAAAGGTAAAGAGCCATTCAGTAAATAAATTTCATAAGGTTAAAAATAAATCCAAATAAATTTAATAAGGTAAACAGTCATTGAGTGTTTTGCTTTAAATAAATAACTTAGCCATTTTGAAAAAGCATGCAAAAGCAATATTTACTTTTTTATCATGCATTATTTAAGTCACCGGTAATGGAAAATGCATTTGAATGATATTTCCAATGCATAAGTACTTTTCATGTACATCTTTCCAGGCTGTTTCAAAATTAATGCAATAAACGTTAGAAAGTGTTTACTTTATTTTTCTAATAGTTATTTTTATTTCGGAACAAGCCTTTCCTTTACCTTCTCATTTTCCACCTACATTTCCCTGCCAGAATGAGTTTCTGGATTGCGATTTATGTAAATGAGGCAGAAACGAGTATTTAAGCTGACGTCTGGGGCACTTCTATAGAAGAGCGTAGCACAGCGTGTTCTACCTTTCGGCCACGTTGCTGCGGCTGGTCTAAGCTTAGTTTTTTACTGCCGTACTGCTACGTGCTTGATAGTATATGCCGGTGTTCTTGAATAAAGTTCAACTCTGTTAGTTAATTTTGCGCAGCGTCAGCTGGTTAATTTAGTTAGTATTAGATTAGTTTTGTATTTTCTATTTTGAGTTAAAGCAAGTGGAGGCTTATTGTAAGCCTAAGAAGGGGGCCGCCTGTTAATTTATTTTGAATTGGTATCAAGGGTACTTTAACCTCTCTCTGGACTTATTACTTTACAAGAACTCGGCGAATAGTCGCCACACGTTCTTTACTATTTTAGCTCTCAAGGAAATTTAACTTAGCTGGGATATTACAAGGTGACAAAGCATACAGAAATAAACACTTTTATTCAAAGAACAAATGGCCATGCGTTAAGCGATTAGACGCTGGAGGGGGCTTTTCGTTTTCCGACACACGCAGCGCAAGGACAAGTAATAATATTCGTCTTCAGCGTTTTTCGTATTGCAATCCATTCGAAATCACTAATTGACAGTACATAAACTATGAACCTGACGATTTAGCTCCGAATATAATGTGAAGCTTAATGTTTTCGGCTATGTAAGGTCATCGAAGACACATAACATAATTATGTCTAAATTTGAGGATTCTTTGAAAGGATGATGGAATAAACAAGTTATATTACTATCTCTTTTACAAAAATTATTTGGATGGCATGAAAATACTACGGAACTACTACTAATTAAAAAAAAAAAAAAAAAAAACGAATATAAATTCCATCAATCAAAAAGCAAAACCGTGCCGCAATCAGGCAGCAAACACAAAAATACGTGAATAAATATCAAATATTATCACAAGAGTAAAATAAACACAAAAAGAAATATGACACTGCAATACAAAATATATCGCTTTTTTAGGTGCGCCGGAAAGAACCCTGTATCTTCGTATTACGAACTGTGTGGAGGGCAAAGAGTCCTACAGAGCGCATTTTCTGATAAAGATAAAGTGCTTGTTTTGAAATGTTCTACCACTCTATAAAGTTTATTTCAGCAGCTTTAAAACACCTTGTCTAGAAATCTGGATAAAAATTACGCTATGTGTAACAGAAAAAGCCACTGCACTTCATGCTTCTGTTAGAACAGAAACCCTTGTTCATGAACCTTGCATATTCTATTCTCCAAGAGATGAGCTTCCTACACTGAAGAAATTGGCATTTCTTTTACAGTGTTCTTACATAAAATTAATCAAGGTCTAGCTGCTACAAGTAATAATGATAAGAATCTACGAATGATCTACTATTCACGGACGACTTTCTAAAAGAAATTGGTTCATACTCACATTACTTGCTGAGACTTGGACGAACTATTAGTATTAAGTAGTGTTCACTGTGACCCTAAGTTTTTCCTTGCAAAAGTAACACGTATAAACTAAAAATGTCAATCCATCGCAGCAAGTTTTCTGGATATTTTAAGACACAAAATATTCGATTGTACTATTATTAGCTTTTTTCCTATCATTTTTATTCCCACGCAGCTAGTTATATAACGTTAGATGTATTTCTTAACTCATTTTATCTTGACAGTAGAAAAGCGTAACATTTCTTGAAGAAGATGACTTGATTTTTGTCAAAGTTACAGCTGCATGAATATTCTCAAGACAGATGAACATACAGTGTATTTCTGAACAGTGTGTTACAGAAGATGCTTATCCTCAATTTCATAAACTTGTCTTAGCTTTTCCACAACACATCCAGCAGTACATTACATTTTCACTATAGTCCCCCCCCACACACACACACACACAAACACACTTTTTTTTTCTCTGAGCCCAGAAATATTTTGTTTGAAATTTCACATGTTGGTAGGTTGCTATAATCGCCGCGTACACTACACGGCAAATACTGCCGCTACCCAGCGCATTAGTGTGGCTTACGTTTATAAATTGTTATAATATTTTCGAAGCACCATAAGAAATTTTTTGCTATAGCAACTCCGTGCAACAAAGAGCAAGATAACATCCGCTAGGAAAAAGCAACGAAGCAAAACTGTATACATTTCAAGAACAGGAAAACTGAAACTAAGTTAAAGTTAATATAATCAAGAAAGGGAATATACTATTTCCGATATACTTGCTAAAATATAAATCAAAGATATTTTCTTTGTAAATACATTTGTGAAACTTTAGTATTAAAGTGTCTGAAATTTTCGTTCCTAATTTTATTTATAATTTGGTATTTAGTCTGTTATTTCATAATTTTAAAGACGATCAAAAATTGAAATAATTAGTTTTGGTTTGAAATTTTTGGGGGTTTTGTAGTTTTTTTTTTTTTTTTTTTTTTTTTAATAAACTTTACTTACAATGTATGTAGCGATACCATTCAGATGTATATCAAATCGCAAACGTTCTTCGCAATTTTTGACATTAATGGAGTAATATAAAATCAGGTGTTAGTTAATGACAGAGACTTTTTGAAAATTAGTAATTTTGCGACTTATTTTTCTGGTGATTTTTAGCAAGAAGATTATAACGCCTTTGTAAAAATATATAAAAAAAAAAGGCAACTTGGTTAAAAAAAAATTAGCGGAAATACTAGAAATTGCAATACATTCTTGATTTTCTTGAATTTATTTTATCATTTACCATCAAAATCAATGGCATTGAAATTCTAATTTTTCACTTTTCCAATATACTGCTGCGCTGCTATTTAATTAGAGAGGGGGGAAATCGATTTTTAAAACAAACAAAAAAGAAATTTAAGCAATGTTTCGATTTTTTCCATTTGGGAATATCCAGATCTGACATAGCTTGCTGCTCGCATATCATCATCCAACAATAAATACATAAGTACCGCACATTTACAAAAAAAAAAAAAAAAAAAAAAAAAAAAAACTAACCAAACATTACAAAACAACAGTATTTTGAGATTGAATGTATTTATTTTGAATCTCTGCTTTCTTGCGTCTAGAAGTTCAAATAAAAGCAGATATGAAAGCTTGCTTAGAGTAAATAATATTTCACTATGTTTTTGTTGAAATAAATTATTTTTGAAAAAATTTCCCATCTCGTAGAAACTGAAATTATTTAGATTATTCTGTTATAAATTTTTCCAGTCGGAACATCAGCAGGTAAGTTATCAAAATGATATACTTTCGAAACGATTTCCACTGAAGCTCTTCAGGTAACGTGAGGGCATTTTAAAATATTACAAATATATTCAAATCCTACTTACGATCATGCTGGATGTAGGTCAGCGACGTCAGGTCCGAGACGGGGAAGCACTTCAAGATATGTTACTACTGAATCGCCACTGTTTGATGGCGTGCAGGAAATAACTTTCAAAGCCAGCCAATCGTGAACAACTAAAAAGGAGCAACTTTCAACTCGCAGTTACTCAACCACTTTCCTTTCTCTTTTTTTTTTTTTTTTTTCCTTTTCCCCTCTTTTTTTTTACTGAAACCACTTTTCTCTTCTCAATCATTTTATTATGCGGTTAGCCTTTCTGTCATCATCACAGATAAAACGTCGATTGTTATGATTCCTCACGGAAAGGTATTGGTCATGAAATCTGCAGCCAGTGTTGAATGAGTTAAAACGGAAAAAAAAAAGTCTTCATTTATAAAAGATTCACTACGTCGAAATCCATAGCATGAGGATAAATTTCTGCGCAATGTATCTTCTATGAATAACTATGCACTGAATTCCTTTCATAATAAATTATTAACAGAAGAATATTATTACATGCATGATGACATTATACATAAAAACGTTTACAACGTTAATATAATATCAATATAAAAATATAATTATAATAAAACATCCTTTTGATAATATCTCCACCAATAGCCGAGTGCTTAACGACTAATGAATGCTTATAGTTCGTCCTGGGTTTGAACGGGCTGGCTGTATAGTTGATTTTCGTAGTTTGCTTTGTGAGTAACATGAATACAAGCTACTTTCCCTTAGAAGGTTGTACAGGAAGGCATCCATTCCTTCAGGCCTACCTCAGATAGCCCTTGTGTGCTTTTCCGTATTCTTATGACTTTGCCGGGAATCGAACTGTGGACCTCTGGAATACCGGCCCAGTGTGCAGATCACCACACCCCGAAGGCCCGCCAAGAAGGTGGGAGAAATACCTTATATACTCCCACTTTTAAAGGGCGATTTTTTTTTTTTTTTTGAGGGAACCCAATCCCAAATCCTGGGTGAGGAGAATCATTATCCAACACCCTTTTGGTAGTTCGGGAACCACTGTAAAGATATTAGGTATATTTTTGGAAGCTGGAAAGATGAAAAATTAACAGCACCTTCCCCGGGAATCGAACCGCTGACCTCTGGAATATCGGCCTAGTGTGCAGACCACCACACCACGAAGGCACGCCAAGAAGGTGTAAAAAATGCTTTATAAGTCTCGTTTATAAAAATAAAGCGAATATTTGTTTTTTGATGCTAAATTCAGGTGGAAGTAAAGATAACATCACATAAAATACCTTAAAAAATATGTCCACCACTCACAGATGCTTTCATGAAAGGCCTTTTAAGGTATCAAAAAATGTGTTCGAATAAGCACTTAAAACACAACTTCAAATCTTTAGAACAGCCATTTTCATTTATTTTTACAACGGTAAAGAAAAAAACTGGTAACCGCGGTAACGCTTTGCGACTGCGCAGATAATTTCGCAGACAACTCTCACAGACGATGAGAAAAATTTTAAACGTAAGGGAAACTGATTCTTATTCACGTGACGCATGGGAAAACATCGGAAAAAAATCCTGCAATCACTCGGTTTGCTGAAGTTCGAACGGTGTCGTACTACCAGTGTTCAACGGTTTTATTCCCTCGAAAATTGACGGATCGAAATATGAAGACAAAAAAACTGGAGAAAAATAAATTTAAAATTATTATTAAAGAAATTATTTTAAAGCGCTTAAAAAAGGCGCAATTTTGAGGTTTCTCTTGTAGGCTGTATTATATGCTTATATGCTGTATATATGCCGGACTCTGAACCAACGAGGGAGGAGGAATTTCATAGCTTCGGGGGGAGGGGGGAAACGTGGCCAGCCTTTTATTTAGCTGTAAGTGTTTAGTTTTAGTTTATGAGTATAAAAAACTACTTTTCTTCAAGTTTTGGTATTTACAACATTTTCTATATACCTTTTGTTTTATTATAAATTATTTAATTCATAAAATATTGTTGCGTGCGTACGGATTCGTTATGAAATGAATGCACAAGTCCGAGGAAAAATGAACAAAAATTTATTATTATCACAACAAAAATGCTTAAATTTTCACAAATTATCATGCAGTATTACAATATCTCACAGTAGTTATCTTTTAGCTACTCAAATGTCCAATAGAACGTAATTCAAAACAGCTAAAGAACGCTAATCCGCGAATTCGCTACAATCAACAAGAGCAGTTTTCTAAACAACAACAAACTAAGCAACTACTACAAACTGAGATGTTTTCCTCCTTTTATAAGATTTTAAAATCACGCGCTAGAATTTTCCAGTACTTTCTCGAAATCAAAAAGAGATATTTATTTATTTAATGCACGCGCTCTTGTATTTTCAATTTTTCCGGCTTAGCTTTCTTTTAATATTCGTCACGCGCTGCACTGCGCGAGAAATAAAACCATTTAATTTATAATTGAACTAACATTAGCTTTTTAAATACCAAATTCGTAACACTATATTAGAAAATAGTCTAAATTTAAATAAATGTACACTGCGAAAAAACAACTGCCTCCTTCCCAAGGACTGCACGTCCCGGGCAGTACAATCCCTGGACAGGAAGCTAAACTTACAACTGTGGCATAAATGCATTAATAAGCATTACATAAACAACATGAACAATAAATGCAATAAATAAAACAAATCAAATGCTATCAAATACAAATCAAATACAAATGCAAATCAAATACTAAATGCAAATCAAATACTAAATACAAATCAAATCAAATACACATTTAAAAACAAAAAGGACCATGGTCTTATACTATTTACAATTATTTACATTACGTACTATGGCCATAGTAATGAGCTAACCTGTCGTAATGAACGACTTTAGGTTTAGAGTTCGAAGACTTACGAATCCGAACCACGACGTCATTCAGCCTGTTTAGGACTGTGTACGGGCCATCCCAAGGTGACTGTAATTTCGGACAAAGTCCTTTCCGTCGAGTCGGATTCCACAACCACACCTTGTCTCCTTCGTGGAATTGATGTTCAGTAGCTCTTGTGTCGTATCGGGTCTTCATCTTCTCCGTCGCCAAGTTGACTCGCTCTCGTGCAAAGTTGTGCATCACTTCAAACCGGGCCTGGAGATCTTGAATATATTCCTCAGACGATGAAGGAGCATCCGGAGGGCGGCCAAACAATAGATCACAAGGCAGACGAAGGTCACGACCGAAGAGCATCTGTGATGGAGAATAGCCGGTAGTCTCGTGGACAGCACTGCGGTAAGCCAGTAAAAAGAGTGGTAATTTCTTGTCCCAGTCCTGTTGGTTTCTGGAAACCACTAATGAGAGGTTATTAAGGATGGTTCGATTGAACCTCTCTACCATGCCGTCCGACTGGGGATGCAATGGCGTCGTTTGAGTTTTGTCAATGCCGAGTAGTTTGCATAGTTCTTTGATTACTGCCGAGGCAAAATTCCTTCCCTGATCGGAATGTAACTGAAGAGGCACTCCGAACCTGGAAATCCAGTGCTGTATCATTACCTCAGCTACTGTGACAGCCTCTTGATCAGGAATAGGATAAGCTTCAGGCCACTTGGTGAAGTAATCAATGACAACGAGTATGTATTTGTTGCCATCAGCAGTTCGTGGCAGAGGTCCCAGGATGTCAAAGGCGATACGTTCAAAAGGCGCCCTACGTTGTAACGTTGCAGCTTGCCTCGGCTGCGTTCCTCGGTCCTTTCCGACCTGCACAGGCATCGCAAGATCGGCACCACTTTTGCACGTCATCCTTTGCATTATTCCAGTAAAAGCGCTCACGAACTCTCTGTAAGGTCTTCATTATTCCAAAGTGACCTCCTGTAGGGCTGTTATGTAGTTCTTTAAGGACATCAGGAATCGCGGGATCTTGGAAGTATCAGTTGCCATCGGAACGTCTTCCCATCATCCGATTCGAATTTCCGGTATAAGACGCCGTTTCGAATGTGAAGTGAATCCCAGAGTGCCCAATATTGTTTTGGTTGTAGGACTACAGATAGAAATGTCCTGCCAGGTAGGTTTTCTGTTTGATGACTCCATTAAATCAATTATGGGTTTAATGTCGCGGTCTTCCAGCTGGTCTTTCCTGACTTCATCATCACTCCACGGGTTCTCGATCAGCCGATGTTGATGTTGTAATTTGTCTTGCGACCGGAGTCAGCAGCTCGTATTTCGCTTCCACCCTGGAACAATATCGGCAGCTTTCTTGGCAAGGTCTTCTAGACAGGGCGTCGGCGTTTCCGTGTGATGATCCCTTACGATGACGGATAGTGATGTCATATTCTTGGAGTCTCTGTATCCACCTGGCTATTTGACCCTCAGGATTCTTGAAATTTAAAAGCCAGGCCAATGAGGCATGGTCCGTGCGGAGGAGGAATTTTCTGCCGTATAGATAATGATGGAAATGTTCTACAGCTTTGACTATGGCGAGCAACTCTTTCCTGGTGACACAATAATTCCTCTCCGGTTTAGACAGGCACTTGCTCCAGTACGCTACTACACGTTCTTGGCCGTCTATTTCTTGGGACAAAACAGCACCGACACTTTCATTGCTCGCGTCGGTGTCGAGAATAAATGGTCTGTCGAGCTGAGGATACGTCAGGATTGGAGCAGATGTTAAAGCTTCCTTTAAGTTGTTAAATGCATCCTCGCATTCTTTTGTCCACAAGAACTTTGCTTGCTCTCTGTCAGCTTGTGAAGGGGTCTTGCGATGGAAGAAAAGTCCTTCACGAATCTCCTATAGTAGGTGCAAAGCCCTAGGAAGCTTCTCAGCTGATGGACATTTTCGGGACGTTTCCAGGATTTAACCGCTGATACCTTTTCAGGATCCGTGCGCACACCTTCTGCAGAGATGACATGTCCCAGGTAAGTCACTTCCTTTCGGAACAATTTGCATTTAGCGGGACTCAGCTTCAGATTGGCTTCTTTCAGTTTCTGAAGCACCTTCCTCTAAGATTTTCTAGAATGTTCTTCAAAACTCTTTCCGACGATGATGATGTATCGTCCAGGTATATCAGGCAGGCTTCGTAGGAAAGGCCTTTCAAAACAGTCTCCATAAGACGTTCGAATGTTGCCGGCGCATTACACAGTCCAAACGGCATCACTTTGAACTGCCAAAGTCCCTTGTCCCGTAGTAAATGCCGTCTTTTCTCGGTCATTCAGGA